GCGGACACAGCAGCTGTATGAACACAGGTTTTAATCTGACAGGTGTGCAGATGTGGGTAAGTGGCCCTGAATGCTCACTGTCTGTTCAGGATTGTATACCTGCACCCATATGCCTGTCAAATTAGGACCTGCAGCATTTCCTTAGTGCAGTGTTTCTCAACTCCAGTCCTCATGGACCCCCAACAGGTCATGTTTTCAGGATTTCCATTATTTTGCACAGGTGATTTGATCAGTTTCACTGCTTTAGTAATTACCACAGCTGTTTCATATGAGGGAAATCCTGAAAATATGACCTGTTGGGGGTCCATGAGGACTGGAGTTGAGAAACACTGCCTTAGTGTAACATATGTTTCCTGCAAACAGCTCCAGCCACATAAACCACTGATACACACTCTACAGGCCACAGTACCCATGTGAATGAGGCCCAAGACACACAGAGCTTTATTTATTAACTCGGTACAGTTTTATCATTTAGATTTAACAGGGATTTTGTTGGGATTGTGTACATTAATAACGTTTTTTAGTGTATTTTTGCCATAAATATAATTTTGCTATTTTCTGTGTGTGTGTGTGTGTGTGCCCTGTCAGGTAGGCTGTACGGGGCCCCGTGATATCTAACAGTGGCCCTGAGTGTACCCATCTTCTGATGGCTACTTCCAATAGGGTAATGTAACAAAGCTCAAATCATCTCAAACTGGTTTCTTGAACATGACAAGGAGTTCACTGTACTCCAATGGCCTCCACACTCACCAGGTCTCAATCTAATAGAGCACCTTTGGGATGTGGTGGAACGGGAGATTCACATCATGGATGTGATTGACATGGATTGACAAATCTGCAGCAACTGCGTGATGCTGTCATGTCAATATGGACCGAAATCTCTGAGGAAGGATTCCAACACCTTGTTGAATCTGTACCATGAAGAATAAAGGCAAAAGGGGGTCCAACCTGGCTCTACCAAGGTGTACTTAATAAAGTGGCTGTTGAGTGTATATGCTGTCATAACGTTTGATACTGTACCTATCAACACCACAGATAAATTGGCAACTTAGCAGTTAAAAAGGCACCAGCTAACTGGGCACCAACAATTTGCCCTCTTTGAAGCTCAGTAAGCTCTGACATGACTCCGTGTTACTAGCCGTGCAGTGAATGATGAAAGATAGGCTTCCCACATGTTAGCTAGCGGTCTCATCACACAGGGAAAGCAAAAAAAATGTTACATCACTTCCGCTTTCGGCGCAAAACATGTCGGCACTTTCACTCCTGCAAATGCAATGTAGTGTTTCCAAATTTTGTCCAACTGCTGGGTATGCTATGAATGTAAATATGTACACTCATAGCATATGAATTTCAAAAGCTGAATTGTTGTTGAAAGTCCAGCCATTGTATTTTGTTGCTGGTAATTTGCCTTATTGTAGCAACAACCTGTCTTATGGATATTCTTTGTCTTGAGTCAACTGCAGTAAAAGCATTTGGAGCTAATACACTGGGGGGCACATATTGACTCAATTGCATGTCAAAAAAATTTACATGCAGAAATGTTACCATTAGGAGGCGTGGCCTAGATGGGCATGTGAGCAGATGTGTCTCACGGAGATCATGACATTGATCCGAACATCGATCCTGAATCCGACACTTGCACCTGCTGTAATCCATCCAGGCTGCTTCATTTGGGCTCCATGGACTCTGCTGACTTGCTCCTTCTCTTCTACTCCCACGAGATGACTTGGAAGAACAGAGAAGACACCGTGGCTCCGGAGGCCCAATATGGCACCCATCCCCTGCTCCCACAGCGCACACCATGAGGGTCTGCTGATAAGCCTAAAGATGCTGTGAGTAAATCTGCTAAATCACATTGCTCCGCGAGTAAAGATTCCCCCCGGGATATGCTATTCTATATCCAAAAGCTGACTGGTGCACATACTCAGGAGGTGCAGGGGGACTTGGATGCCACGTTTACGGCTGCACAGGGCTTGCCTCTGCCACGTACAGACATTCCTGACTCAGAGCTAGACACAGATCAAGCAGGAAGAGGATGCTCCCCAGCCCACTCTCAGTGATATCCTCAAAGCTGTTCATAGTTGCACTGTTTCGGTACAGTCTGTCCAAGACCAAGTAGGGCGGTTAAGGATTAGCGTCTCTCTACTGAGACAGGATCTCCAGTAAATCCATGAACGCACCACAGCTGTTGAAAGCAGGGTCAGCGATATTGAGGACAAACTTTCCCCCTTGGCCCAGGACTCCCATGCCACTTCACAGCTAGCTATAGCTAATAAGCTACAAAATGAGGATTTTGAGAATCATCTCAGGCGCAATAATGTCAGAATAGTTGGCCTACAGGAACGCATTGAAGGCAAAGACCTGACTGATTTTGGTCAGCAATGGCTACTTCAATTATTTGACAAGGAAGCTTTCACGCCACTCTTTGCGATTGAAAGGGCCCACAGAATCCCGACTCGCCCTCTTCTGCCAGGTGAGATATCCATTACAATGGTGCTAAAGTATCCTTTTACCCTGAGTACTCAGCGGAGGTGCAACGTCAATGTGCTGCCTCCTCAGATCTTAAGAAAAGGCTTCAATGGTTGAACCTCTCATATGTTGTACCTGGCTCATCTGCGAATAACCATGTTTGGACAGACCCACTTCTTTCGAGAAGGCCCCTGCTGCTTCGTCCTGGATGGACACTAATGAACCGTCTCTACGAGCTTTTACCTCTGCAGAGGCATAATGCCTCCCATATTCTCACAGCTGCCTAGGTAACTCTAAGCTATTTTCACAAAGTCTGGATCCTTGTCCTTGCCTGCCGTTTTCACCTTCCTGGAATGGCATTCCACCCTGCTCTGCAGGCTGGACAATTGGTTATCACCCCATCCTATTTTATCCGGAAGGACCAGCTACCCCTCCAGAGGTAATTACTGCAGCCTAGATGTTGACAAGAGGATCCTATCATCTGCTTCTTTCCATTATATGGCTGTTCTGTTTCTCAGTAGACTTGTTTAAGACTTTCTAATTTCTTTTTGATATTTTGTTTGGTGCCGTTGTGCCCAGGTAGGTTTCGAACATGGGTACTGACACGTGTTTACACTAACTACATCCAACTGCTAGAGCCAGAAGCTTGTATACCCCATCTCCAAGGAAATCGCATTCACTGTGCCTACCAGCAATGCCAAGCTGCACCTTCTTCCCTATGCACTGTTGGGACCATGTTTGCTCCTTACTTAATGCTCCATCATGGCAGATATCCCCAATGGGGACTAGGTACCATGGTCTTTTCCATATTGCATAAATATCAGCCTGCCATTATTTGCTTATAGGAGACTCATTTAATGCATGATGTGCTCACTTGTATGTCTTATCGATGGGCGGGATATGTCTCACCTCCTACTCCCGTGTAGTCACCCTTCTGGTGTACCGCCAGCTTAGCTTTGAGGTTTTGGCATGCGATCTGGATACTGAGGGCAGATAGCTTTCTCCATTGCTAGATTTTTCAAGTTCCTTGTATCCTTGCATTTGTGTATATCCCTCCATCCTTCTCCACTACGGTCCTTTTCTCCTTGACAAACCTGATCTCCCTCTTTTGCTCATGAGTGATTTTAATGGCTATATATGCCCTAGGCTAGACAAACATCCACCACTGGCAGTAGGCCCTCATTATAGAGGCACTGCCTTGAGTTTGTGAGTGAAGTGGGATGGTTGGATCTATGGAGATGTAGAAACCCAGAGGAACGCCAATTCTCTTGTTTTTCCAAAACCTGTATGTCCCTCTCTAGAATTGATCTCTGGTCTCTGCTAACTGTGCTGCGCTGCTTTCCAAAATACAGTATGTTACTAGATCTGTTTCTGATCATACCCCCCTGGTTCCCTGGCTTGTCCCCCCCACCCCCACAACATTCTACAGAATGTCTCTTGGAAACGTAACCCTTTTTGGCTTAAAATTGCTCCAAGAAATGTTTCCATTAATCTTTGGGTCTATTTTCAACCAAAGCTACAGATTTAGTTATGGGAGTGCAGCAAAATAGTGACATTACACCTAATTTCTCAGTTGTTCCACAACTATAAACAATTATTTCACAATGTAATTTTGCCTTAGAACTGTTGCAAATTGTAAACACACACACACACATGTTCATTTTCCACAGTGGCTAATTTTATTTTAAAATTAGATACAGAAAATAAATATATCCCTAATTTGCATCAAAATACAAGCCTCAACAGATTAGCAACTACAAACCATAAGACCCTTTTGATAAATGTCTCCTATTATGTTTACATGCAAATATTACTCTCTGCCTTTAAAAGTGGATTATGAAAAAAAAGCACACTTGCATTCCCTGGAAAAGTATGGTGAAAGAGTAGGACCCTTGTATTCCTTTCTAACTCTCAGTTCACACTAGTGCCATTTTGCAGGACGCAGCACGGCAGCCCATTTGTTTGAATACGCCTCTGTGCCTTGCAAAATGCAGGGAAAAAGTCCCTGCATCTATTCAGAAATCGCAGGGTGTGATTTCCAGTGTGGGCAGTGTTCCATTAATATTAATGGTACCTGCCCACAAGTCCTGCGTTTTGTGTTCGCACAGTTGCAGCTGTGTAATGAAGTACGGATCCCGCAGTGGCTTCCACACACACTAGTGTGAACCGAGCCTTAAGCTTGCTTACAGATTTTACTCATAAGAAATTGGAACTGCATCTTGATCCTATCGTTGTAGTATTGGCTCACATATTTTAGTTTTTTGCAAAGTCTGTCTAAAATCGTTTTGTTCCTTAGCGTTACTAGTAAAGTGCAGGTTACACAAGCCCAAGAACAATGTATCTAAATCACCTGAAAAATATACCTAGTGTGTAATGTTTTGAGCTTTCTCTGTTAGCAAAAAGACATATATTCTCTGGCTCCTAAAGAAAGACACAAGCCCGTTGGTTTCTAGATAGGATAGAGTGTATTCTACATAAATTTATTCTATGGAGCAAAATTTATTCCCTTGTTTTCAACTCTTGTTTATTAGATTTTGGTTCGTACGCTGCCAGATGGATCAGAACTTCGTGGCAGGATTGTTGAGACAGAGTCCTATTTAGGAGGTGAAGATGAAGCTTCACATTCCAGAGGCGGCAAGCGGACAGAGAGAAATATTGCAATGTACATGAAACCTGGGACGATTTATTATGTGTATCAGATTTATGGTGTATACTTCTGTATGAATGTTTCCAGTAAAGGTAAGTTGTTTCTCCTTGCCCTCCATGTTTTCTCCCCCAACACTTCTATCAAGATCAATAGCACAACTTTCAGTCCCTCTACTCTTGCAAGGGTGCTATGTTTAATCCTGGACTCTGACTTCTCTTTCAGGTTCCACATATAATCACTGTCCAAACCTTGCCAACTTATCTCTTTAAAATGTCTAAAAATTGCTCCCTCTTAGCAAACAACACCACAAAAATACTAATTCACTGAATATGAACACTGCTACTAGACTTGTCCACCTAATAAAAGATAAGTGGCCGTTCTTAGCTCTTTTGTACCTTCTCTTAAGCTTGCCTCCAGAACCTCTCCACAGCCTTTCTATCTTTTGTAACTCCCTACCCCAATCTGTCCAGCTATCTCCTAATATGTCTGTCTTTACATGATCCCTGAATACTCGTCTCTTCTGGGAAGCCTATTTCCCATCACCAAACAACTGTACTTTCTCCATCAGCTCATTTTCACTGTTATTATCCTTTGTATCATTTTCCCATCCCTTTTAGATTATTATCTCTCATGAGCAGAGCCCTTCTAATGCTCGTTTTGAATTGCATTTTAACTGTAATGTCTCTTTTTACTTTGTAATGCTCTGCACAAATTGTTGGCAATATATAAATCCTGTATAATATATATAATACATAATCGTCATATCAATAATACTTTAAATCAACAATCAGCCATTATTTGTCTACTTCTCTTTAAGGACACCACTCTTGCTACTTTAATAGTAAACACAGATCAAGATATAAAATGAGTCCACTGGAACCTATCAGCCAGTTATTGTTGTCTGTGCCAAGCATTCCCAGTCTAGACTGTAAAGAAGATAATTTCTGAAGTCTTAGCTAAATTCCCTTTTTCTTTACTTGTCCTTTAATCTCCTTTATGAATGAGCATTCTTCTAGTCTTGATCTTCCTTCATCCTCTAGCTTAGTGTACCTGTAGAAGTAGTACTTTATTAGAGGTTTTCTGTAGTGGTTGTGGAGTGTCCTAGAACTGTGCCAGTTATCACTGTTCAGAACATTAGATAAGGAAGATATTAATTCTGGTTTTAGTTTTGTGAATCCAGCTTTGTGTGTAAGCATGGGGGAGTGGATGGTATAAAGAAGAGTGCTGCTGTCAATTAGCCAACTGGGTAAAGACACCAATACACAATTTTGTGGAAGTCTTTAATTGCTTGGCACCTTTCAGTGCTAATTATTCTTCAAATGTCTCTTCTGATGGTTAGATATCAAGGCTAGTTAGGTTTAGAAATGCATGCTTCCTTAAAAGCAATGTGGCCTGCAGGAAAAGAAGTGCTTCATTACTCTTCTCCAGGTTCTCAACATTCCATCTATTATTTCATTTGGAAATAAAATATTCTCAGACATTTTCCAGGACAATAGAGATTGCCACTTCTATCATCAGAATTGAAAACTACAGTTTTATACTGGATTTTAAAGGAAATAGTTTCACTTAACTATTTTCCCCTTACACATGCACTTGGAGTTGGATAACATGTCCATCATAAGGTCTCCACAGCCTTTCTGTATGGGCAGAAAGATGTAGCCTACTTCTTCTTCAGTGCTTTAAAATGTCCAAAACAAGGAAGTGGCGTATCTTTTTGGTGTACAAGTTTTATGTGTGTTCCTCCTCTTGGAGGTGCTAATCTGGCCTCTGGATCTACAGTGATCTGGGAGGTTGATCTATTGCTGGGACAGAGGGTGGATATCCCTGATTTGGGTTGCATGAGACCATAACCATCTGCCAGTTGCCTCTGGGTGGGATATTGTATCTTTCTGGGCTCTGTAAAGAAAAAAAATTTATATAAATGTAAATTAAAAAAATGTTTATATGTGTGTGTGTGTGTATAACACACACACATAGGATTCCTAATGGGAATTGTGCTTTACCTGTGCAGGGCAAAGCTACAAGTTTGCTTTACTTATCCCCATCCGTCTTTTCAGCAGTACTATCCATTCTTGGTCAGCACCTGCGATCAACGAAAATACCCAGTACTTCCAAGTACAGGGGAGCTTGTGGCTCACACCAATGCCAAGCCAGTCTGGTTTCAGGCCAGTCCTCAAGGTCTAGTGCTGTCACATGTTGAGACTCTATAGTTCTGTGTAATCTGTGATTTGGGCTACTTATAGATTAAGGTACCTAAATGGAGCAGTCGGGGAATGATGGAAAGATATGGAGAAAACACAGGTTAACTTTAACTACTTCCCTAGCAGCCAGTTCTGACGTTTCTCTCCTACATGTAAAAGAGATTCAGCTGCAATTTAGTTGCTAGGATTGCTTTTGCATTATACAGCATCGCTGGCAAAAAAAAAAACCCCCACCCGGTTGATGCCTGTAGCTGCAGGCATAGTCCCGGTATCACCACTTGAAGTCCAGGACGTCATATAATATCGTATGGGTGTGCAGTGGTTAAGGATCCAATAAGATGGAAAAAATACTGAAATTAATTTTGGGAACAGCTGCTATAAATTTAAAGCTGTCATTAGCTACTATCTATGTACCTAGATAGAATGCGAATACAACTCAAAAATATTAAAAAGAAATTATGTATGTATGGAAGAATTACAATAATGCAAGGATATAACAAAATCCAGATTACATACAGGCCAGTTTATTTTTCTTGAGTTTGACAAGCAGAATGGGTTCTTGACTGGCTCTTTCTCCTTAAACCCAGCATATTTACTTTGTTTACTCTCTTGGGTCCAAAAAAAATGCTGTTCTTTTACATATTAACAAAATTAGTTGCATACAGAGTGCCATTAATCATTTGCTGACCACAATTCATATATATATACGTTGCAGTTAGCAGGTGGTTTATCGGGGTTATGACTGAAAATATCAGCCATAACCCCTGTATCTTTTCTTTCAGCCAGAGGCAGGCTTTCTAATGAAAACAGTCCGAGCGGTGTTTCTTGGGCTTACCTTTAAAACTGCCACGCTCGAGAAACAATCCAACATTGTGGCCGCCTGGTCACAGAGGTGATGAGAGACTCTACCTTCTCTGATTGCCTCTATTGCCTTCATGACACCACTTCCAGGCCAATTTTATTTTTTGTTTAAAGCAAAAGATCAAAAATGTTTTTTATAATCTTTTGCTTTTAAAGGTAACAAGTTTTTTTTAACCCTAGATATTTCCTTAAAGAGGACCTGCCAGTGTAAAAATAAAATAAATGAGAAAAAAAAAAACAATTAAAGCGCCCCCATCCCTCCGTGCTTGTGCGCAGGAGTGAACGCATATGTAAATGGTGTTCACAGCATGCATGTGAGAGCAATAATTCTAGTGCTACACCTCCTCTGTAACTCTAAACAGGTAACCTGTAAAAATGTTTAAAGCTGTGATAGATTTTTAAGTACCCTAGTTTGTTGCTATTCCGTGAGCGTGCACAGTTTGAGAGTGACTCGTTGGGTATCTATTTACTTGCCGTAACACCCTCTTTCATATTTTACAAAAATTGGGGTATATATTGTGTTCTGTTTTAGTTTTTTTAATTCATTAAAGTATATTTTTTTCAAAGAAAGTGCGTTGGAAAAACTGCTGCACAAATACCATGTGACATAAAAAGAAAATTGCAATGATTGCCATTTCATTCTCTAGGGTCTTTGCTTAAAAAAAAAAATACACCAGCCACTTTATTAGGTACACCTGTTCAATTGCTTGGTAACACAAATTGCTAATCAGCCAATCACATGGCAGCAACTCAAGGCATTTAGGCATCTAGATGTGGTAAAGATAACTTGCTGAAGTTTAAACCGAGCATCAGAATGGGGAAGAAAGGCGATTAAAGTGACTTTGAATGTGGCATGGTTGTTGGTGACAGATGGGCTGGGCTGGGTATATCAAAAGCCGCTGATCTGCAGGGATTTTCTTGCACAACCATGTCTAGGATTTACAGAGAATGGTCTGAAAAAGAGAAAATATCCAGTGAGCATCAGTTCTGTGGATGAAAATGCCTTGTCAATGTCAGAGGAGAATGGGCACTTGATTTCAGTTGCGACATTCAGATGGTAGGGTCAGAATATGGTGAAAACAGGATGAAAGCATGGTTCCATCCTGCCTTGTATCAAGGCTACGGGCTGGTGGTGTAATGGTGTGGGCAAGGGCGTATTTATCACAAAGCAAACAAGGCACTTGCCTAGGGCGGCATTTTTCAGGGGGACAGCAGCTCCCCCAGAAGAAGGGATGAAAGCAGGGAAAAGCTCCCCGTGGGAACCAGGTGGGATCCGAGAGAGGCTGCGGGCTGCTTGATGGTGTATGTAGAGCTTTGCTGGGGATGTCCGGAGCTGTGAAGATGAGTGTCTATCACCGGGGGGGGTTGCGGAGTAGTGGAAGGCTCTCCCAGGTGGGGGGCAGGGGTGTGTTGTTCAATGTCAGGCTCTCTCTGTGACAGGGGGTAGGGGGGTTGTGTTAGTCGGTGTCCATGGGGGCAGACGATTTTTGTGTTGCCTAGGGCAGCACAAAACCTAAATACACCATTGGGTGTGGGGAATATTTTCTTGGAACTAGCAAGGTGTACTTAATAAAGTGGCTGCTGAGTGTATAATGCTTGGGTGTTATAAGTAATTTTTCTAGCAAAAATTACTGATTTAAACTTGTAAGCAAAAAGTGCCAAAAAATGCTAATTGAAAATTACATTTAAGTAATCCTATAGATGGTTAATATTTTTCAGGAAGTCCCCTAGGGGGCATTATTGCACTTCAAAGGAGCCTTGCAGTCTTGCCTTACACAGATCAAAGGCCAGATAATCGACTTGTCTGTTAGTACAGCTGCACACGCTATCCCAATAACAGGATGAGGCCTGGTGATTCTACAGAATTTTTATCAGCTGTGAGACAAAACTTTTAAAACAGGATGTATATGCAACAAAGCAAAAAACAACTAGTTTTGCATAAGGTTGTAAAGAGCTGCATCTAAGATGATTTTCTCTGTAATTAAGAACATTCCTTTGAGAATAGTTGCCATGATTTTACCCACTTATTG